AAATGTGAGAAATTGGTAGGTAAGTGTCGAGAGGAAGGGGGTGGGGGTACGTACACTACCATTTCACCACCACAATGCTGTGACCTGGTCCGGAACCGTGAAGATCACTGGAGCAACGCCGTAAAAACGGTTTTGGTACAGTTCGGCTTGGGACCGGGATGGGGGAGGGAGGGAGGGAGGAGGGAGGGAGAGTGGGGATTTTTGCACTTCCGCTACCCCATCGACGCTATCGAGTCATCAAGTGAAGAACTGTGGATACTTGTGATGGCACAAAAAGCAGTGTAGTGCCAACCAAAGCTCGTACCACATGTCAACCTTTGTCAAGAATACTAGTCAACTCGTGGAAGCAATGAAAGCGGAAGTGTGAAAATGCCCACCCCTTCCCATCCCTCCCCTAGTAGAAATGCCTCAGGGTTTTCTTCTCATTCAAATTTAACTTGTATGAACTTCAACTAATTCAATAGTAGTGTTAGGGGACTCTTCCCGGTCTTATAGTAAACGCTGTGACTCATTGCTCTGCACTCGTAATAAACCGTTCACGGTTTTTTCTAGAGAACTCCCACGAGCTTTGCATCATGCAGTACATTATGGTAATCTGGTTTAAATCTCGATTGAAGTCATGATTCATATGAAAATGTGGTCATAGAACCGCATCAAAATGGTAATATAAAAGGTGCTCAGCCATTCAACACATATCCCTCGCTGCATTTCTGCCGAGGGACAGTTCAAGTCCACATAATATTTCCGCTCATTTTCTCTATCGAGGCTCCTGGAACGCGCATTTTACGTTGATCGTTTGGGCGGAGTAATCTGGAGCAGTGCGCCCTCCCATTGGTGGATACCTCATCTTTCTAAGACGAAAAGGATCGTGAGCAAAGTGTCTCCAATGGGGAAGACACAATGATCCAGTTTATCGCGCTCATATGATCAGCGTGGCACTATGAAGACGTAGAGTCATTTCAGATGCCTGCGACCACCCATTTGATCCTTGTCTGGATTACGCTGTGTATGCTGGGTGCTGTGATAGGACGCCGACAAGGTGGCGGACGTGGACATTCTGGCGAGTACGATAGAAAGCCCCCCATGGGAGGACAAGGAGGCCACGGTGGCAATGGACAACAAGGAGGCTATGGATCACATGAAGGCCATGGTGGGCCCACCAGGATTTGGACAACAAGGAGGCCATGGATCACAAAAGTGGCCCACCAGGATTTCGGACAACAAGGAGGGTTCGGTGGTAGCGCAGGCTATCCCGGTAGGTCTTGTGCTTAGCTCTTGTGAAAATTTTCACACGATTTTCAATGCTTTTGTTGTACAAAACATTTGACCTGTAAAAAGTTGCCTCTTCGAGCCTCAATGATTTAGGAGGCGGAGACCTAGACCTCCGGGGCAAGGAGGTCATGGTGGCAGCGGTTTTCAAGGTGGAAGACCTAGAAATGGCGATTCTGGAAAGAGAGGTACGCAAAGTGAACTCAATGAACAGAATTCTCAGGAAATTTCAAATTTTTGTCAAAATATAACAGTAAAAATTCGTCCATTCAAGAGCATCCTCCTTGCCATTCGTGTGGGCGAAGCCAAACTTACTATTGCGTCATTTTCATTTGCAAGCAGGCTTTTCGAAAGTGTTAGTAGGAGGGATGCGCCAATGGTAAAGGCACAATAGTAGGCCTGACTCCGCCCATGCGGCCAGTGAGAACTGTGCCTCTTGAAGTGAGGAGTGAGAAGTATGTAGCATGGGCTGACGTTGCTTTCAGGAACGATAGGAAGCGGTGCTGAAACCAAACGAGTCACTGAAGCAAATCGGGTCTGAACAGAGGACGAGTCGTTTCAGCTCTTTTCAGTTTGTTTTAAGAAACTACGAATTTTACCACGACCTTCTAGTCGCGCTGCAGCCAATAAAAATGTTAAACGTCAAGTTTCTTTCGAACTGTGCTCTTTACAGGATATTGCACCGACTGCCACCCTACATGTGTGACGGAAAAGGCGTCCCACGACATTTCTCAAAACCTTGTTCCAGGATATCCCCATTTCCCATGCTCCAGGATTTGTTCTGTCATCATGAAGCAAATTCTGGAGATCAGCCATGTCACTAGTGTTTTAGCGCCTATAATGTTTTGTTTTAGCGTCCACAGACAGGGCACGCCATCGCGTTGTGATCATTTATTTTTCGCTAAACACGGTCCCCTCCTCCAAATGAGGGTACTTAATGCCGATCTCCCTGACAATAAAGAAAAAGAGACACTATTGAACTTGCTTTCTACTGCAAAAGAAACTCAAAAACTTGAGACCCATAACTTATTCGAGAGTAGAGCTTTTGGGGAAGGGAAAGCAGCAATGTGAAGCACTTGGTCGGCACTTGTTACACAAATTTGAGCGATTCCAAAAAAGTTCCTTTGTAAGAAATTTTCTCCGTTGTGATCCGGTCGTGATTATGGGGGCACAATTTAAAAGCTTCTGGGAAGTGGCCAACCTTCTACAAAGGGCTTCGCTCTGTGCAAGTAGGATGTCGACTATTGTTGATATAAAGCGTCCGGAAGTGTATTCTCATTTGTTTATTGATTCATGACCTCGTTGTGGGCGGTCATCGTATTTCTTGTCATCGCCCGTTCCCCACTGCGCTGGCAGGTTTGTGTGCCTGCTTTAATCACACGCCTAGTCTGATGTTCAGCATTTCCCCGCATTCGTGTCCCGCACGCGACTCCAAACTATTTCATATTACCGTGCGCCCTTAAATCTGAAGCGGACTCGTCTGAGAGTATATTGAATAGGATACTTTTCAAACCAAATCGAACACTTGTCAAATAAATTGGACGCACTGGGCACATTGGAAAGCTGATTAATTGCATCATACTAGGTACCTGCTGCAATCCCCGCACAAACACCCCTGTCCTCTTGCCCGTTAGGCTGTAACAGGTAGCTCCTAATCTTCCAGCTATTCAAAGGAGGAACGCACCAATGAGAACAGCACAATGGTTATTAGTCTCCGCCCTTTTTTCTGCCCATTCGGTCACGATGGCATGCTCTAGAGCATTTTTTGAAAGTATGACTGCACAATGAACTGAGCTGATGTAGCATGTGAACAGGTCTCTGTACAATTTTTAATTTCTCTGATGAACACCAATGAAACACAATAAAAGTAAAATAAAAGAAATACTCTATGAAACAACGATTGAAATGAAAAGAAAAGAAAACACTGATAGAATCTCTCAAGTCCCAGATCAATTGAGGAAAGAAAACAGCTGACTGGATATAAAATGCCATCGTATGCGCAAAGAAAGAACTCTAACGTTCACTAATCTTCATAACACTTTACACTAATAACCCTAAAGCTCCTAGGACATCTAGCAAAAATCAATAGAAAATCAATAGACGTAAAACAAATACCGAGATCACGTTTGTTCATGATGTCAGATAGCCCGAACGTATGCACCATTGAGTGGCAATCTTAAATTAAACATTAAAATCTTCGGCACTACTGAACTATTCCTACCCAGTCTGCCGAAATCAGCCGGTTTTTACCGACTTTTTTCTACAAGGGCAGATTTGGCTGAAAATTTGCTTACAGGGGTACTTCGACCTCCTGAACACGAATATCACATCCGCTTCGCCCGAAACTGCCTGGCGCCCGCGCCACAGGCGCCGGCGCCAAAATACCCTAGATCACCAAATTCGCTGAAAACTTGTCCCTAGGGGTAGTTTGACCCCCTGAACACGAATATCACATAAACAGCATATCACATCCGCTGTCCGCCTGGCGCCTCGCCTTAGGCGTCGGCGCCGAAACACTCTAAATATCACTAATATTAGGTTGTCCGGAAAGTTCTTAGCGTTTTGGGTGTTTAACTTTAAACGATCATAACTTTCTTAACACTCATCGGATTTAATCCAAATAAGCACCATTCGAATCAGCACACTTTTGCCAATGTGGCAGCAGTCGAGAAATCCCATCAAAGAAAAAACTGGGTGGTCGAGAATCCACGAAATCTGCGAAGGTCTTTTTTGCCTGGTCCTGTTTGATGAAGTATTTCTCAGCAGGAAAGTTCTGAAAATGTCTGAAAAGGTGACAGTCGGTTGGTGAAAGGTCTAGAGAATATGGTGGGTGAGGTAGAACTTCAACTCCCAATTCGTTCAATTTATGGATAGTGATTTGTGAAACGCAGCAGGTGTGGGCGGGCGTTGTCATGCAAAAGAATCGGACCCTTTCTTTTGATAAGTGTTGGCTGCAGCTGACAATATTTTCGGTACATTTGGTCGGTTTGTTCACAGTAGGGTTCTGCTGTGATGGTTTGGCCTGGTGATGAAAAGTTATAGTGGATTACAACAGCCGATGACCACCAAACCTGACCAGAATTTTTTTTTCGCGAGGGTTCGGCTTTGAAAATTACCTCGGTGGTTCCTCCAAATCCAACCACTGTCCGGAACGTCTCCTGTTATCATACATGATCCATTTTTCATCACAGGTGACAAATCCGTTCAAAAACGGGTCAATTCTTTTGCGCAAAAGCAGTGAAGAAGGAACCTCGAGACGTGCCGATTCCTGCCGGTCACTCCGATTGTGGGGCACCCAATTGTCGAGTTTTTTCACCTTCCCAATGCGTTCCAGACCATCTGCAACAGTGGATTTGCCAAGGCCTAGCTCTTCTGCTATCTCTCGAACTGTTTGGGATGGGTCAACCTTCAAAATCCCCCTAAAATCCTCGTCAGATATTGCTTTAGGTCGACCGCTATGAGGTTCATCTTCAAGGCTGAAATTTCCAGAACGACATTTGTTGAGCCATTGCCGCACAGTGCTTTCTCTAGCACTATTGGGCCCTCCACACCTGGTTAATTTGTTGAGCTGTTTCGATTGCGGATTGCCCCAATTTATAGTCGAAGAAAAAAATCGTCCGAAGTGCTCTTTTCACATGCTTGAAAAAATCTTGAAAAAAGGTTTATCAAGCAATGGTGAAACGGCAATTATACCATCAGATAGCGCAAGAAATTCTCTACAGGATGTGCTACTGAGAAGCAAGGCAGAATGAGTTTTTAATCAGCAGTGAATGTACAAAGATTAGGTGCACAAAACGCTAAGAACTTTCCGGACAACCTAATAGATGAAGATAGTACAACGGGGGTTATTTGACATCCTGATCACGAATATGACATTTATTCTTGGCGCCAGCTCTATCGTAGGACACTATGGTCATCTGCGCTTTGCCAAGACTTAGCCTGCCCTGAAGGGAATCACTCCAAATCCCAGTTTCAGCCTCAGCAGAAGCCTGAATAGCGCTGCTATGGAGAAATAAATGCCATATTCGTGATCAGGGCATCGAACAACCCTACTACACAAGTTTTATCGGTTTTGAGAAGAAAAGGTATGGCGAAAAATTCGCGCCTAGTGGCGCGAAGTGGCACCAGCGTCAAAAAGAATGCAATATTCGTGATCAAATGTCAACTGACCCCCATATATAAGTTTGCACAAATTTGGAGAGAAAAGTGTTGGTGCCATGTTGGCGCCTGTTGGCGCCAAATGGCGCCAGCGCCAGAAATGAATGTCATATTCGTGATCAGGACATCGAATAACATCTATAGGCAAAGTTTCAGCGAAAAATTTTTTGAGTTTTTGGGTAGGAATAGTTCAATAGTGCCAAATCTTCCTGTGTATTAATATAATATTGATTAATACATTAAAAAGATAAGGCCAGTAGGCCCTGAACCAGTCGTCGGGTGCAGCGCGGTCGCGTAGCGTCTGCGAATGGCGTTGGTATGCGAAATACGCCAACAACAGTTTGTCCGATTCTCCGTTTCCGCAGAAAAAAATTGATAAAGAACTCACCCCGTTACCGTAACATGATAGTTCAAGCTTCGCATTCGGGTCTGACGGATGATAGGTCCTGAAGCGACAGTACGGTATGTCGGTTAGAGCGGCAGCGAAGAGTCCTGCGCGGCCTGCCACTGTACGAAATTCGCTGATGGTAACAGTCGAATTGAACAAGATTGATTTGATCATCCATGGAACTAGCAGTGTCCGCCATGCCTACAAAACACGTACAGTTTCTTACAGAAATCAAAGCAACCAATAAAAGAGCAAGCTGGCTACAGTGGGAGGGGGGGGGTCAGGAGATCCGATTTGCAGAAACTAGCTCAGCACGCGCTGCATTTGGCAACAGCCAGTTCAGCTCAATCTAATAGGAGACATTCGTGCAATATCAGTCAGGTACTGGTGCGAATGCCGCGATTGCAACACCAATTGCAACGTCGCTTTCGCCGCAACTCGAATCTCCTGGCCCTCTTTCGTGGCGCTGAGGGACTCTTCCTCTTCCAAAAACTCACTTTGATAAATTGGCACATATCGTCGGCAGTGATTGCGGTGATAGCAGCTGGAGACTCAGAGAACGCCGAGAAGTCTAGACAGCGCACATTGTGCTTCAGCCAGTGAAGACAAAAGTGAACCTAAAAGCTTTAAATTTTGGATTGAAATGTATCAGATGGCCAACAAAAGAAGACAAAGCATTGGCCCAGGTTAATCCC